TGATTTGTCTTTAAACATGCTTGTTAGCCAACTCGAATACTCTTTTTATTGGAAATAAAGTAAGTAAGTAAATGCACACACAGAGCAGTCCCTAACATCAGGCACAATGACGCAGCCATCTGAATTAGTACACTCTGTGATATGGTGATTGTTCTTCAGCTGTCTGTTCATTTTCATCAGGCTCTAGAAATAGTGTACAAAGGCCCCAAATTCCACCTTCATCCAGCAATGTCCAGTGAAATTGCTCACCTGAGCCAGTACTCCAAACATCCTATCATGGTTGCATGCTCCACATTGAACTTACGTTGAATCACACATGATTGGCTATTTCATTAGAAAACTCAGACTAATCTGTATTTCCAAGGTGTTGGTAAAGTTCCCAAGAGCACTGCTTTCAGATAGAAGCAGTCCTCTTGGGAATCTCCAATAACACCTCCCCAAATGGCAGGGATTTGGTGCACTTTGTCCAGGATCAGAGAAAGATTTTTCTGACATGGCTTAAGCAGATGCCAGACAGCTATTTTAAGGTTTTACAAAAGGGAAGGTTCTTCATTCAAAGGCTGTCACTGAGGTGTTCGATATTTTGTTGTACAACTGTCTCAAGAGAAAAGGTTTGCCCTGTTTTATAAATGCTTCAACAGCTTCTCAAAATGTCTAGAATGACACAAACTAACTAAACCTGCCTGGTACACTTTGGCAAAATTGTATTCACCAATTATCGACTTCTTATTGGTAGGGAAAGATTCAGGGAGGTTGTATCTCATCTAAAGGCAAATTTGCCATTAACATAAAGACATAAAGATTAAAACAATATACTTACTGTCCACTGAGCTATTACCAGTCTGGTGGTTATTTATCTAGCCATATACTATGATTGAGTACTCCATTTATCTTATCCATAATCCACTTCCAAGCCATAGTCAACATTGTGAATTGTCCTTTCAACCTAGTTGCCCGAAGACCTGGTCCCACATCCATGTTTTTACTTTCTTTCTAAAGGTGAGGAGGGATGATGATTACCCCAGGAAGTCAATTCCACAGGCAGGGGGGCCACCACGGAGAAGGCCCTGTCCCTCGTCCCCGCCAAACGTGTTTGAGACAGAGGCAGGGCCGAGAGCAGGGCCTCCCCAGAAGATCTTAAACTCCAAGGTGGGATGTAGAAGGAGATACGTTCGGACAGGTACGCTGGCCCGTAGCCGTATAATAAGGGATTGCTTACAGCTAATAGGATGTAGCCTTTAGCTTCCTGCTTAGTGAAAAGAAACTGACCTGGCTCACTATATTGTTAATTTTAATTGCAATAAGTGACTATGAAACATGGATATTTTAAAGAAAATAATTGCACAAATAATACGCTCTTAAGCACCTTCCCACTTGCTTCAGAAAGTGCTGCATATTTCCAAAATGACACATTGGAGACACAATTGAGTTGTATTTCTTTTCTCAAAGGTTTGATTCAAATGCAAATATATGGGTAACCTAAAGTTCTTAAAATATTATTCAGCTACAGTTGCTCTTTACTTGTGATTTTAAACCCTCCATATAGAGACATCCTCTGTTCATGGCTAGCATTTATTTTTAAAGTTTTAACTATTACATTTGGTCCAGCCATAGGTTTTTAAATTCTTGTTTGTTATTGTCTACTTATGAGTTATATTAACTGTATTGTTTATTTTGTTTATTGCTTGTTATTTTATTATTGCTTGTTGTTTTTGATGTGTTGTTGGGCTTGGCCTCATGTAAGCTTCTCTGAGTCCCTTGGGGAGATGGTGGTGGGGTATAAATAAAGATTATTATTATTATTATTATTATTATTATTATTATTATTATTATATTTGACAGCTTGGGCTGGTGCTGCTGAGAAATCAAGCCTGACAAGTCCTAGAGGGCCAGTGGTTGTCCACTCTTGTTTTTTGTGTATATTGAACTAAAAATGGTTTGTCTCCAGATGTGTATTTTCCTGAGTAGGTAGTCTGGGTGTACCTCTGGGTTGAAGTGGAAATACTCAGAGCAGTGGTTAAGGGAGAGTTGCAGTAAGCAGCTTCCTCCAAGCATGACTCATTTTCCTATGACTCAACAGCAGGAATAATTGGCTCTTCCAGACAAACTCAGTGAAGGAACATTAAGATAGATTCAAACAAGGAAAAGCCAGAGCAGCAGCCAGAATGTTTTTTTACTATGTGTGCCAGACTCCCCTAGCAGGTATGTTTACTGGAAAACAATAGGTTCTCTAATCCTAAATATAATACTAGTCCAAAGAGGGAGGCTCTTCCAATTTTCTGCCAAAATTGACTTTTACCAACTGCTACCAACCAAAAGTAGCAGAATCTCAGCAGGAAAGTGTTGCAGGGCTCCAATTGGATTAGAAGAATATTACTGTTTCCTTTCCCATATATTGTTGTTGTTCTTTAAAATAAAGACAGCCTGTTTGCATACTCTTTTAACCATGGCATGTCTGAGTGCTCGCAAAGAGTGTTCCAGCATACAGGACTGCATCTCACAATAATAGGAAATCGGCCAGGATCAGATTTTTCTGCCATGCTTCGGGACAGTCTGTTTTCTAATTAAACATTTGGTTTTCCTACTCACATCAGATGATCCTTTTCTCCGCTTTCTTTAGGATCTATCCATTTGATTTGCCATCACACTGTAGAGATTTGTTTCCTCCCATTATGTGCAGGTACAGCTGTACCAGAAGCTCCCACTTTATTTGCTTTGCATCAAGTGTTTGTTTGCAGCTCAAGGCTTGGGATTTTGCAGAAGGGTGGCTTCCTGTTAAAGTTTGCAGTTACAGGGCAGGTCACCTGTCAATTATCATTAGGTTCCCTAGTCCCACCCCCTTTCTGGGCTTTGGAAAGGAAGTGAACAATGTTGTTAGTCAGTCTCAGCCAGGTTAGCTTTTGTATAGGATGTGTGTAACTTCCCCTGTACAAAGGCTTCAAGCTTTAAGAATATCCAGGGTTACAGAAATTCCAACAGAAACAGAAGGGAAAGAAATCCAGAGAACAGCTTTAAGAGTCTCCTAAGAACTCCAGGGAAGCATTCCCACAGGTTTGGGAATTTCCAGGAAAACAGCCTAAAAGACTCAAGAACTCCAGCTGGAGAATATCCACTGCCTTGCTGGTAGGTCCACTCAGCGTCCGAGAAGCAGTTCGGCCCAGTAGCGGAGGCCAGACCAGTGAGAGTTGGATTTCAGTCAGCTTGGGAGAAAAATAGGGGTTTTTCCTTTAAAGAAGAAGTTACTGAAGATAGTTGCCTGTCCTTCGTGGGCAAGTTTAGGAATTCACCAGTTTCCTAGAAGCTTGGAATTATTTGCTTTACTTTGCTAAAGATAAGAGAAGTTCCTGTTTGATTGTTCATTAATAAAAGACTTTGTTGTACTTTTCAAGCCATCTGAAGATTCTTTGTAGTGGAAACCTCTAAGAACTTCTCCTTAGGCTCCTGGCTTCCCACTGGGCAAAGGTTACACATCCTATTTTTAAAGCCAACCAATTACAGGCCCGGCGGCAACAGAACACATTATCCCTCCAAGATTTTGATTATTTATCTTTTCTAAAGGAGCCTCCGGTGGCACAATGGGTTAAACCCTTGTCCCGGCAGACAGGTTGGTGGTTCAAATCTGGGGAGCGGGATGAACTCTTGTTTAAGTTCTAGCTTCCCATGTGGAGACATGAGAGAAGCCTCCCGCAGGGTGGTAAAACATCAAATATCTGGGCATCACCTGGGCAATGTCCTTGCAGATGGCCAATTCTCTCACACCAGAAGTGACTTGCAGTTTCTCAAGTCGCTCCTGACACACACAAAAAATCTTTTCTTTAAAAAAATCAACCTAGATCATAGGAAGTGGTTTAAAATTAATTCTGATCTTTCCTCAAGCTTTCGCATTGGTGATTGTAGGAAGTGGTTTAAAATTAACCCTGATCTTTTCCCCAAGTCTTCGCATTGGTGATTGTAGGAAGCGGTTCAAAATGGGGGAAATTGGCATTTTGGCTCCTCCCACACATGGTGTCATTGTTTTATTTACAAGCGAGCAACAGCGATTAACATCACATGGGAAAATTGGTCATTTTGCCCATCTCTACTTGGGGAATTTAAAAATAAGTTGATTAACAACTGACATAGGATTGTTGGGGAAATCAACACTTCAGAAATGACAAAATACCTCAACCCCATGGTTCAAACTTGAGTCGTGTGAAGAGCACTGTGGGTTGCCATTTCTTAAATGTGTAGAAACACTGATTTTACTGCATGGGATAAAGTCCTAACTGCGTTATTACAAAACAGCTTGCAAAGCTCAAAGTATGGAAGGGGAAAAGTAGAGAAGCCCAAACAGAATTTTACAGTTCCATCCTTCACTTCTCTGTTTTTAGTTGTATCACCCTTGCACCCTGCCCAATTTCTTTTTCAAAAAAGCTGTAAAAAGTTATCTTTTTAGACAACAGTTCACAAAATTCCAGAGCTAGCCAGAGGGCTGTGTTCAGGGGGTTGCTATTATTGTTGTGTGCCTTCAAGTCATTTCTGACTTATGGTGACCCAACAGTGACCCAATTATGGGGTTTTCTGGGCAAGATTGATTTAGAGCAGTGGTTCTCAACCTGGGGTCCCCAGATGTTTTTGGCCTACAACTCCCAGAAATCCCAGCCAGTTTACCAGCTGTTAGGATTTCTGGGAGTTGAAGGCCAAAAACATCTGTGGACCCCAGGTTGAGAACCATTGATTTAGAGGGAGCTTTGCCTTTGTCTTTATCGAACACTGAGACAGTATAACATACCCAGTTAGTTTCCATGGCTGAGCAGGGTTTTGAACCCTTGTCTCCAGTATCATAGGATAATGCTCAAACCACTGCACTACACTGGCTCTCTGGTACTTTAAAACCTTTCTTTCCTCCACTCCCAAGTCCTAACTGCATGACTCAGTCAATATATTCATGTCTCACTATGCTGTCTTTATAAAAGAACAAACTGACTTGACAAGTTATCAAATTATCTGGAAACACTCACCAGTTGGTTCTGGTAGGCAGTGACAGCAGTAAACACAGTCTCTGGAAAAATAAATGTCCGGAATTCTTCAGATTTCAGGTTAAGCAGAGAAGCTGTATGGTCTTTCTTCTTGATGATATGCACCCTCGGCTGATATTTGTGCATTGAATTCAGGATTATCTGGAGGGGGGAACGGGGAGGAGAAAGACTGTGAGTCCTCACTTTCAACCAACAGCATTCCTACCAACCTTTCTGGCATTCTTTGGATCTTCCAGATATTTTCACAAAGAGTTCTGGGCATTAGGTACACATATTCCTCTACAGCAACACCCTCTTATGTCATCTATATTAATAAAATTGAGTCTGTGAGGGGCCTGTGTGCTTCTATTTTTGCCGAAATTTTGGGGGAAGGTATTTGGAGAAATAGAAGCTATAATGGATATGAAGATAGGAAAAAGTGCAAGCATTGCATTGTTGTCACTATATAACATTAAGAAATTGAAAAAAACAAAGAAAGATGCAATAGATAACATGTTAAGTGCAGCAAGATTACTGATAGTGAGGAACTGGCAAGGTAAAATAAATATACCAATTGAAGAATGGTATAACGAACTATGGAAACTAGCAATAAACGATAAATTGACATGTAGGTTAAGAGTCAGGAAAGGGGTATGGAAGGAAAACGACTGATGAAGTTTGGGGAAAATTTATTGAGAATGGCTTAAAAGAAGTAGATGGGAAATTACCTCCACAAGAAGAAATGGTATTTTGGAAAGAGAATGTAAATTGAAGTGGCTCGGAAGGGGGGGCGGCACAGAGGTGAACAAAAAAAAAGTATGCAAGATATATATATATATATATGTACACACACACACACACACACGAGGGGTATTTTTAAAGTAAGCTCCGTTTTGTTGTAAACACTAGTAGTTCGCGCGCATTACTACTACTTTCTAGAATCACTCCTTTTTTAATAGGGCAATTCTGCTTGTTCGGTATTATCATCAAGTCTGAGTTCATATCCACAGTCTATAACATTTCTTATTCAAGGTATTTAAAATGGCTCTCCATATCTATGGATTCTGCATCAATGGATTGAAACATCCATAGGTTGAAAATATTTTTTAAAATTCAAAAATATTTATTTTTCTGCACCGTTGTATATAATGGGATGAGCATCCATGGAGTTTGGTATCCACAGCAAGTCCTGAAACCAAACCAAGAGCTCACTATACATTAAAATATTACACTAAAATCTTAGTGTTATTTGTTATTTGTGTGGCCGACAAAGTTTCACAGCTGTTACTTATTCACTTTATCATGTCCGTCTCAGCTATTTAATTCAATACACTGCCCTCTATTGTCATTTTTTTCTTAACTGAATCATTAGAAGAGCGCATGTGTTGTGTACCAGCATGCCTCGGGAACAACTGTGCTCAGTTTCCACTCCGTAGCTAACCTGTATGGTTCTGTTCTGTGCTTTAAAAATGTTTAAGACTATCAACTCACCCTCCGCATGTGAGGTTCGCTCAGTGATACGGTTTTTGTCAGCAAGGAACCTGCCTGCTGCAGAAATTCATCAACAGATTTGTGAAGTGTACGGTGATACTGTTATGAGTGAAAGCAAAGTGCGTAAGTGGGTACGGCAATTCAAAGATGGCCGTGACAACGTCCATGATGAGGACCGCTCCGGTCGCCCTTCTTTGATTACAGACGATTTGGTGGCTTCAGTTGAAGCGAGGATTTATGAAGAGGATATTTTAAAATTGGTTCAGAGGAATGATAAAGTGTTTGAACAAACTTGGCAACTATGTCAAAAAATAGAGTGAAGTATGTACTTTCTGAAAATAAATTTACTTTTTTGAAATAAACTTTCGTTGTGTACTTATGTTCCAACGGACCTTACTTAAAAAATACCCCTCGGACATATAATTGATGTAATGAATTGAGTATGGAATATAAGAGTATCGAAGGTATTGATGTATTCTAAGGAAACCAATAAAATATATTTTAAAAAACACTGATCCCACCCACGTATCTCAGCAACACAAGGAATCAAAATCTCACCTTTTAAGCTTGGGGTGGCCACATGCCCACCTATTCCAATTTGTAATCAGCATGGATAGACATATGGATCGTCCCCTTCCTTTTCTTGCTCTCCCCATTTGACCCTCTGGAGGACTCAGTTTTGTGATACCCACTTCCAGTTTTCAGGGTTGCACTCCTTCCCTCCAATGAAATTTCATTCTCTTTTAACTGCTATAATAGCAACCTCCTAATACCCACAGTGGCTTTGGGCACATTATACTCAGTCCCAGCAGGTGTGCCAGCAGGTGCCATTGCCTACGAGAGTGAACATTGTTTTCCCTTCCCACAGGGCCAAGCTACTCACATGACCATGCTGATCAAGCTCGTTGTTTGTTAGCTTCACTTTTTCAAAGGACACCATCTGCTTCAGCAATTGTTCCCCTGTAAATGGAGAATCCGGATGCACGTACAACCTAGAAAGCCAAGAGACACAGGGTCCATCAGTGTCAATCAATCACATCTATTACCACAACATTTCCTTGTATAATAAAGTAGTCCAACAACTGTCACAGCTAAAACTACCAGGCATAGCTGGGTTAACACTGCTGTTTGCCCAGGTAAAGCTGAACCCACAGCTGCAAAATATTTTGCCCTTACTTTCATCCTGATCTTTTTTGAACACACAGTGTGCCTCTGGTTTTGCAGTGAAAGTACTACTTTTCAAACTCTGAGAGTTTTAATGCAATTCTTAATTCCACATTTTGAGGTGTGTTTGTCCACTTTGCAGCCCCGAATTGGTATCTGCTGGAATTGGGAAATAGGGTGGTTGGAGGTCAGGACAGGTTAGTTATGTGCGGTGTCCAATTTTTTGACATTGCCTTTTTTAAATGGACATTTGAACATTTGAATACCAAAATGTCTGAGATATTCTGTTCATTGATGTGTGTGTGTGTGTCATGTATTAAATATTTATTGCTTTAGTGATTTTTATTTAAATACAGCCATCCCTCCACATTTGTGAAAGTGTGGAATTCGACAGTAACTGCCCTATGACACTTTTAATGGTTTGAATCCTGTTTTAATATTTACATAATTGTAGCTTTAAAATTGTATTGAAATGCTTTTAATGTACGCTGATTGAGTCCCCTTATGGAGAGAAAAAACAGTGTGTAAATAAACATAATAAAGATAATAAAGCTAATAATAAAGCTAATAATAATAATAATAATAATAATAATAATAATAATAATGAAAAAACCACTCTGGGACTTCCAAATTCAGACAGAGTTTTGGAGCAGAATACTCCTGACCTAACGATCGTTTTAAAAAACAAAGTATGGATCCTCGATGTTGCCATCTCAGGCGACAGCAGGATTGAAAAGAAACAACTGGAAAAGCTGACACAATAGGAGGATTTAAAGAGGATTTAAAGATCGAACTGCAAAGACTCTGGCACAAACCAGTAAAGGTGCTCCCAGTGGTGATTGGCACACTGGGTGCAGTGTCTAAAGACCTTGGCCTGCACTTAAACACAATTGGCGCAAACAAAATTACCATCTGTCAGCTGGAGCATGGATCACATTGTATTCCAAAATTTGTAAAAGCCAAATAGAAAAAAAAATAGTTGTATAATTTTGCCCCCAAAAAGCCAAACCTGCAATTCACCCATTATCCAGTGTTATAATCCTAGTTATAATCACCAGTAATCTCAAATAGAATTGGGGAAGACACCTCTCTGGAATGCAGGAGATTTCTGTATGTCTTCTGTATCAGAAGACAGCGGAACATTTATACCAATAATGTAAGTGTAAGAGGAAATTTTGACAATTGTATTATTATTATTATTATTATTATTATTATTATTATTATTATCTATCATTTTGTGAGAATTGCATCCCTGCAAAAAATTGATGTGTTGCATACTGAAGGTAATTACATTTATAACCAAAATGCATAGATTATCAGGTTTTCTAGACTGTTAAAAGTTTGAGTAGGCATAGAACCATGAAGGAAACCTGGAGCCTGTCTTTCCATTCCAACCCATGTAATTGCATCCATTAATTCTCTGATAATACTGAGCAGGCTGTATATGCATACAGAGCTGCCAAAGCAGACTTTCCTAACATTCTTGTCAACTATTAGTGGCAAATGAGCCATTTCCTTTGGTGTCTCTTGGTCATTCTTGGCCTCTTTTTAGAGATACTCTCCCAGTCCTTGATGCACACATATACACATGGACCAACTTACTTAATTTATTTTGTATGGGCCTTCATTTTTTCCCCCAAACTTCAGCCAAAGAACTGCATACCAAAATTGATTACCCAGACATTATTTCTTCTTGGACCAAAATCCGTATGTTTTAACTTGTGCCCAAAGAGAAAATGATTTCCAGTCCCTTAATTGTGAAATTAGTGGAAAGCTCCATTTCATAATGTGAAGACCTAGACAAATCTCTTTCACCTACAATTACATCTCATTGCATTAATTATCATAATAGCCCAGATTAAAACTCATCCTCTGCATGAAGTTTAAGAACATCAAAGTGGAAAAGTGTACAAATTAAAGTAATCTATTGGTCAAAATTAATTATAATATATTCCAGTCGTAGATTCATGTTGGGGATTTACATTAACACAATGTAGCCAAAAACCACCCCCTAGGCCTTTAAGAACTTTATAATATGTTGGACTTTTAGTTGTTATTGTTGTTGTTTACTTTATTTTAATTGCTTTCCAGTTTTATGAAGGTTTCGTTGCTTTTAAACTTGTGTTCACTTCGTTGTTATTATAACTGTTGTAACCAAACTTCACTTCCAAACTGTGGAAAAGGCAACACATAAATATGCTGATTGATGATGATGATTAGTTTGCCCTGTGCAGAATTATAGTATCCACATCTACAGCAAAGGTGTTAACTTTATATATACTGATCTAGGGGGAGGGATACAATTATGCATGCAATGAAATGAAATATTCTTACAAATCTGTGAGATTTTGTGTGTTTGTGTGTGTGTGTGTGCACGTGCGAGTGTGTCAGGACCGATTTGAGAAACTGCAAGTCTATTCTGGTGTGAGGGAATTGACTGTCTGCAAGGATGTTGCCCAGGGGATGACTGGATGTTTTTATAATAATAATAATAATAATAATAATAATAACAACAACAACAACAACTGCTTAAGTGCAAAAGACAAAGAGTGAATATAGTAAAAACACAATCCAGAGCAAAAGAGAAAACTGCCAAAAGAAGGCACACCATGGACAGTTTCTGGCAAAAATTGAGAGCCAAACTGACAAAGAAAAAACATGGCTGTGGCTCACAAATGGAAGTCTGAAAAAGGAGACTGAGGGCCTGATTCTAGCAGTCCAAGAACAAGCCATTCGAACCAATGCCATCAAAGCAAGAATTGAAAGGTCAACAACAGATCCCAAATGTAGACTCTGCAAAGAAGCAGATGAAACAATAGATAACATCCTCAGCTGCTGCAAGAAGATCGTGCAGACAGACTACAAGCAGAGGCATAACACCTTTGCTCAGATGATTCATTGAAACCTGTGCCACAAATACCATCTGCCTGCGACAAAGAACTGGTGGGATCACAAGACAGAAAACGTTACAGAAAATGAACACGTCAAGCTACTCCGGGACTTCCAAATTCAGACTGACAGAGTTTTGGAGCACAATACTCCTGACCTCACTATCATGTTAAAAAACTAAGTATGGATTGTCGATGTTGCAATCCCAGGTGACAGCAGGATTGAAGAGAAACAAGTGGAAAAGATGACACAATATGAGGATTTAAAGATCAAACTGCAAAGACTCTATCAAGTATTTCATGTTTATACTAGTTTTGCTCCATGGTGATGTCCATATTGGGAATCTGAATATTGGCATACAACAGGAGGCACTGGATACAAATCCTCACCCAAGCTTGATGGATAGCTCCTTGACAATTATTCTTTTTCATTATACCCAACCTCATAATTTTTTACCACCATCCTACTGAAGTGTACTGTTATCACCCATGTGGTCCCCCACTCTCCTATGTATATTGTCCTTGATATTAGGGACTAGTGGAAGCGGCAAGGGAGGAAGCGGGCTGGAGCCCGTGAAGAACAATGAGGAGGGGAGGGGGGAGAGAGAGAATCAAGGTAATTGGCAAGAAAAAACGCCAACAAACCAAACAACTAGCAAAACAGAGTCTAAGACCTTGGTTATGGACTGCGGCATGGAGGAGGGGAGGTGTTCCACTAGCCGAGGGGCCCCCATAGAGGTCGTGGTGGGGAGGAGGAGATGCGGAAAAAGGAGACCTCAAATTTGGCTTAATTCGGACCGCTTATCTACATTAACAATCCCAAACCGGTCTCCTAGGGTAAATTGGTGTAACCAGGCTGGCGGGCCCGCCGGATTGAAGGTGGTGCTGCTGAACGCCAGATCTGTCAACGGAAAAACGACCTTTATCCAGGATTTAATCCTGGATGAGCGGGCAGATCTGGCGTGCATCACGGAGACCTGGCTGGATGAAGCTGGAGGAGTAAATCTGACCCAGCTTTGTCCTCCAGGCTTCTCCGTGCAGCACCAACCGAGATCCGGAGGGCGGGGAGGCGGGGTCGCAGTGGTCTATAGGGATTCCATCCATCTGACCAGGTGCCCCATCCCGCAGACCACAAATTTTGAATCCGTCTACCTGAGGGTGGGTGACCGGGACAGAATAGGGATTCTGCTAGTGTACCGTCCACCTCGCTGCACTACAGTCTCCCTACCTGAGCTAGCGGGGGTGGTCTCGAGCCTGGCGTTGGAGTCTCAACAGCTTCTTGTGCTGGGAGACTTCAATATCCATGCCGAGGCGACCCTCACAGGAGCGGCTCAGGACTTCATGTCTGCCATGGCAACCATGGGGCTGTCCCAACAAATATCTGGCCCCACCCACTGTGCTGGACACACATTGGACTTGGTTTTCTGCCAGGGATGGGAACAGGGTGGCGGTGTGGAGGAGTTGTCCATCTCTCCGTTGCCATGGACTGACCACTTCCTGATCAGATTTAGGCTCACTGCGTCCCCTAACCTCTGCAAAGGTGGAGGACCCATTAAGATGGTCCGCCCCAGGAGGCTTATGGATCCGAATGGATTCCTGACGGCTCTTGGGGATTTTCCCGCCACCTCGGTAGGTGACCATGTCGAGGCCTTGGTCGCTCTCTGGAATGGGGAGATGACCAGGGCAATTGACATGATCGCTCCGGAGCGTCCCCTCTCAAGTAGCCGAGCTAAACCAGCTTCTTGGTTTACTGAGGAGCTGGCAGTGATGAAGCGAAAAAAGAGGAGACTAGAGCGTGTGTGGCGCTCGGATCCGAGCAAGTCAAACCGAACACGGTTTATTGCCCTACTAAGGGCATATGCCGTGGCAATAAAGGCGCAAAGAAAACTTTCTTTGCGGCCACTATTGCGTCTGCAAAAGACCGTCCGGCGGAGTTGTTT